GAGTGGCCACTGCACTCCTGTCTGGGCGACAGAGTGAGACTCCAACTCAAAAAAAAAAAATCTGTTCATTTCTGATTATAAATGTAATACATGTTCATTGTACAAAATTTGGAAAAGTGCAAGGCATAATTAGCAGCCACACCTTTTAGGATCACACAAATGAATTTTTCTTATAAAGTTGAGATCATACCTTTTGCAGTCTTATATTGTGCTTCTTTCACTTATTGATAGGGAATAGCTTGTATTTAAACTCTATACCAATGGTCTCAAAAGTGGTAGATATTCAAGGCAATCTCTACTAAAGAATTCTTTATTTCATACTTATGCTATCCTCCTGTCTTGTGTATATTTATAACCACCTAATACAAAACAGTTGCATACATATATGATTTATTCTATAAAGTTGGGTATTACTGGTCTATACCATGACTACATAGGAAAAGACAACAAGAAGTTAATAAATTAGGCTTCATTTGTACATACATTCATTCATTCCTTTTATTTAGAATGCTATATCTTATTATCAATATGTCTTCTTCTAGAGGAATAATATTTTTAAAAATAGTGACATAAAAAAACTGACTAGATATAAACCCTATTGTGAAAAAAATGTATTACGCAGTAGACACTAACTGCTTCTTCAATGATGAAGCATCATCAGCTAAAGCAGGGAACCCCAACTCTAGTTGGGGATCAGGCCTTACAGCAGGAGGTGAGCAGAGCTTCATCTGTATTTATAGCTGCTCCCCATCACTCACATTACCACCTGAGCTTTACCTGCTATCTGATCAGAGACAGTATTGCAAACCCTGCTGTGAACTATACACGTGAGGGATCCAGGTTGCGCACTCCTTATGAGCATCTAATGCCTGATGATCTGAGGTGATGCTGAGGCAGTGATGCTATATTTCATGATATATTACAATAATAATAGAAATAAAGTATACAATAAATGTAATGTGTTTGACTCATCCCCAAACCACCTTCCTGCCCATCTGTGAAAAAACTGTCTTCCAAAAACTGGTCCCTTGAAGCCAGAAAGATTGGGGACCAGTGACCTAAAGTACATTTCATGAATAGAAAGATAAATACCAATGTAAATTAATATACTGGTTATTCTCCCTGTACTAAATAAACACTTTCATTCCCAACATTACATGTATATCTTCCTTGATCCTGAAGGTCTTCCCAAGTACTGTTTGACCAGCATCGAATACTAAAGATTTACTGAACTTGCTTTACGGGAAATTATCAAAAAACCACTAATCAGGCTGGGCTCGGTGGCTCAGCCTGTAATCCCAGCACTTTGGGAGGCTGAGGAGAGTGGATTGCCTGAGCCCACGGGTTCGAGACCCACCTAGGCAACTTGACGAGACCTCATCTCTACAATGAATCAAAAATTAGCCAGGCTTGGTAGCACGCCTGTGGTTCCAGCTACTCAGAAAGCTGAGGTGGAAGGATCGCCGGAGCCCAGCAGGTCGAGGCTGCGGTGGCTGGGAGCAGCCACTGCACTCCAGTCTGGGTGACAGAGTGAGACTCCAACTCAAAAAAAAAAACAAAAACAACCCTCCCCCCAAAAAACCAAAAAAACCCACTAATCAGAATCCAATACAATCACAAGCATAAGGCAAGATTTGACAGACTCAGAGAGATTTAAGTTGTCATGTCAACCTTTACATGACAACTTAATCTTTTTTTTGAGTTGGAGTCTCACTTTGTCGCCCAGGCTGGAGTGCAGTGGCACACTCACGGCCATCCCAGCGTTGACCTGCTGGGCCCTGGCGATCCCTTTGCCTTAGCCTTCCAAGTAGCCGGAACTACAGGTGTGTGCATAGCCCAGCTAATTTTTTTTCCACTTATTGTAGAGAGGTCTTGCCAAGTTGTCCAGGCTGGTCTCGAACACGCAGGCTCAGGCAGTCCAATCGCCTCGGCCTCCCAAAGTGCTGGGAGTACAGGCTGAGCCACCGAGCCCAGCCAACTTAATCAATTTAAGGGCATTTCCAGGTCTGAAAAGTCATGCTTGCTGGTTTCAAGTATACATAACAAACAGAAATGATGCAATGATAATCATGTTACAAAAAGCAGATGCAAAAAGAAAGTAAAGCTATTAATTACCTGATGCCGTTTAAGCATGTCCAGTCCCAGAAGCATGTCCATGGGCTGCTCCTCAAGGATGGAAAAGGAACACGCCAAGAAATCGCCTTCAATTTGAACCTGAGCTAAAGCACAAGAAGAAGAGAAGTTACTGATGTTCACTTCGAAAGCCCCAGGCAAGCTTTGGAAATGCACCCATCTTTCATGACTTACTTCTTGCAATCAATCAAAATGAAGGCCAAGCATGCAAACAAGTAAGGCAAGTACTAAAATCCAGTAGGACCAATTATCAGTTTAAAAGCTAGTGAAGGATTGCTATTAGATTTTAAATCTTTGCTAATCAGGCCAAGTTATTTTGTATTTCCCTGATTAATAATAAAGTTAAGAAAATTTGCACATATTTACCATTAGGATTTCCTCAAGTGCCTGCTTAAGTATTTCTGTAAATTCTACATTGTCTTTCTTACTGAGTTGTTTTTTTTGGTTTTTTTTTTTTTTTTGAGTTGCTATCTCACTCTGTCGCCCAGACTGAGTGGCCGCTCCCGGCCACCGCAGCCTCGACCTGCTGGGCTCCGGCGATCCTTCCGCCTCACCCTTCCAAGTAGCTGGAACTACAGGCGCGTGCTACCACGCCCGGCTAATTTTTGATTTATTGTAGAGATGAAGTCTCGCCAAGTTGCCCAGGCAGGTCTCGAACCCGCGGGCTCAGGCAATCCATTCACCTCAGCCTCCCAAAGGCGCAGGATTACAGGTTGTGCCACCGAGCCCGGCTCTTACTGAGTTATTGAGTTGGACGATACACACATGTATGTATATTTTGACCATTAATCCTTTATTTATTTGTTTACTTTCCCTACCAAGTCTTTTGATGAAAAATTCTTTTGAGTCGAAGTCTCACTGTTGCCCAGACTGGAGTGCAGTGGCACGCTCCCGGCCACTGCAGCCTCCACTTGCTGGGCTCCGGTGATCTTTCCGCCTCAGTCTTCCAAGTAAATGGAAACCCAGCTAGTTTTTGATTTATTGTAGAGATGAGGTCTTGTCAAGTTGCCCAGGTGAGTCTCGAATCTGCAGGCTCAGGCAATCCACTCGCCTTGGCCTCCCAAAGTGCTGGGATTACAGCCTGATGAAAAGTTCTTAATTCTTTTTTTGAGTCAGAGTCTCACTCTGTCGCCCAGGCTGAAGTGCAATGGCACACTCATGGCCACCGCAGCCCCTACCTGCTGAGCTCAGGAGATCCTTCTACCTCAGCTTTCCAAGCAGCTGGAACTACAGATGTGCGCCACCACTCCCGGCTAAGTTTTTGATTTATTGTACAGATGAGGTCTCACCAAATTGCCCAGGCTGGTCTTGAACCCCTGAGCTCAGGCAATCCTCTTTGCCTCTGCCTCCCAAAGTGTTGGGATTACAGGCATGACCCACCGCACCCGGCTGAAAAGTTCTTAATCATAATGTGGTTGAATACATACATACATATATATATATATTTTTTGAAGTTAGAGTCTCACTGTCACCCAGGTTGGAGTGCAGTGGTGCACTCACTGCCACCCCAGCGTTAACTTGCTGGGTTCTGGCAATCCTTCTGCCTCAGCCTTTCAAGTAGCCAGAACTACAGGCAAGCACTACCACACCCAGCTATTTTTTAAAGTTTATTTATTGTAGAAACGAGGTCTTGCTAAGTTGTCTGGGCTGGTCTCGAACCTGCGGGCTCAGGCAATCCACTTGCCTCAGGCAAGCCACTTTGCCTCTCAAAGTGCTGGGATTACAGGCTGAGCCACCGAGCCCAGCCTGGATGAATATATCAAATCATTTCCTTATATTTTAAAGAACCCCTTACCTACACAAGAGATTCTATATTTTCCTCTAAAAGTTCTCACTTTCCTTTCCACTTCTAGGTATGTATGTATGTATCAATTTATTTATTTATTTAGAGTTGGAGGCTCACTCTGTCACCCAGGCTGGAGTACAGTGACACGTTCACGGCTACCACAGTCTCAACCTGTTAGACTCAGGTGATTCTTCTGCCTTACCCTTCCAAGGCACATATAAGCACACCCAGCTAATTTCTAAAATGTTTTTGTAGAGACAAAGTTTCACTATGTTGCCCAGGCTGGTCTTGAACTTCTGGGCTCAGGCAATCCTCTTGACTCCACCTTTCAAAGTATTGGGATTACAGGTGTGAGACTTGCCCAGCCACATCTACGTCTCAAATCTACCTTGGGTTGCCTTTTGTGTGTGGTGTGAGTCAAGTCCAATTTCTAATTCATTTCTGCACAGGGATACCCAGTCCTCCCATCACCATCTCCTGAAACCTTCTCCACTGCTCTATAAGATTTCCTAGCCGGGCTAGGTGGCTCAGTCTGTAATCCCGTGCCTTTGGGAGGCTGAGGTGAGTGAATTGCCTGAGCCCGCGAGTTCGAGACCCGCCTGGGCAGGTGAGACCTCATCTCTACACTAAAATCAAAAATTAGCTGGGCGTGGTAGCGCACGCCTGTAATTCCGGCTACTCGGAAGGCTGAGGCGGAAAGATCGCTGGAGCCCAGCAGGTCGAGGCTGCGGTGGCCAGGAGCGGTCACTGCACTCCAGTCTGGGCGACAGAGTGAGACTCCAACTCAAAAATAAAAAAATAAAAAAATAAATAAAAAATAAGATTTCCTCTCTCATTTATCAAGGTTCATATAATGATGGGTATACTTCTAGTGGTATCTTCTAGATAGCCCTTTGGTCTTGATAGCTAAAGGCGGATGTTACTCTAGAGTATCTTGCCTACTCTTACAAAAAGGGCCAGTGTTAAATTTAAAATTAGCACAACAAGTTTCACAAAGAAACTATTAGGATTTTAATATTACAATGGCTCTGTGGATGAATATGGGAGAATTGCCACCTCCCAACATACTGAGTCTTCTGCTCCATGGCACAGTTCTCCTTTACTTAAATTCTCCTTATTGTCATAAGGGTTTATTCATGTCAATCATAGCCAAAGTTATACAACTGTACATCTTATCCATCTACAAGGACACAAGAAACTGGAACTTATTTTGTCTCTTCCTGTTACCTTCTCATTTAAAATCATAAAAAAAATCTGAAAACTCAGACTCTGAAGCAACCAGTTTGTGGTATTCCTGCCCAACACTCAGTCCTACTGTGCTTAGGAAAGTAGGAGAATAAGGTATTTAAACTATCTTACGATACATGGATCAAAAAAAGCACAAAGGCCCTAATAAACAGACAAATATATTTCAAAAGAAAGGGGAAAAGGGGCAAATGGGTAGGAAAAACTATAACTTGCAAAGAAAGAAAAGTAACTTACAAGAAACTACTTTATGCCAGGTGCAGTGGCTTAAGCCTGTAATCCCAGCACTTTGGGAGGTGGAGGTAAGAGGACTGCCTGAACTCAGGGGTTCAAGACAGCCTGAGCAATGTGGCAAGACCTGGTCTCTACAATAAATAAAAAAATTAGCCAGATGTGGTGGCACATGCCTGTGCTTTCATCTACTTGGAAGGCTGAGGTGGAGGGATCACCTGAGCCCTGTAGGTCAAGGCTATGGTAGCCGTGAGCGTGCTACTGCACTTCAGCCTGGGCAACAGAGTGAGACTCCGACTCAGAAAACAAAAAAAAAAAGAAATGACTTTATTTGTAAATTTAAGTGGGAAAACAAATATTATTTAATAGTATAGGACATTAAGATGAATAATCATTCAGTGCTTAATAAACTAAATAGGTACTAGTAGCAATATAGTAAAAGCCTTAAAATATTCATAACCTTTGATTCAGTTGTTTCACTTATAGGAATCTTTAAGGAAAAAAAAAAATCAAAACTATACTTTCATGTTATAAGAGAAAACATAACCCAATTAACAACACAAAACTCCAAAAAGACTTAGAAACTGGCCACGGTTATCTCTGCAAATAGAAGCAGAGGTGGGCCCAGAGCAGAAGGGCTGGCGGGAAGTCAGTGCAGGCACAGTGAACCCTGGGACATCATCCTCTCTTGCACTCTGCTCAGGCAGGTGATCCTTTACCTCAGCAACAAAGTAGAGGTTTATTTTCTACAGAATGTGAAACAGAGGCATTTTTTTTTTTTAGTGGGAGTCTCACTCTTTCACCTAGACTGGAGTGCACTGACATGCTCACAGCCATCACAGCCTCGACCTTCCACCTCAGTCTTCCAAGTAGCTGGAACCACAGGCGAGCGCTACCATGCCCGGCTAATTTAAAAAAAATTTTTTTTTACTGTAGAGACAAGGTCTCACCAAGTTGCCTGGATGGGTTTCGAAGCTGCAGGCTCAGGCAATCCACTCGCCTGGGCCTCCCAAAGTGCTGGGATTACAGGCTGAGCCACCAAACCTGGCCAGAGGCACTCTTTTTTTTTTTTTTTTTTGAGTTGGAGTCTCACTCTGTCACCCAGACTGGAGTGCAGTGGTTGCTCCCAGCCACTGCAGCCTCGACCTGCTGGGCTCCGGCAATCCTTCCGCCTTAGCCTTCCGAGTAGCCGGAATTACAGGTGTGCGCTGCCATGCCTGGCTGATTTTTTGATTTATTGTAGAGATGAGGTCTTGCCAAGTTGCCCAGGCGGGTCACGAACCCACGGGTTCAGGCAATCCATTCACCTCAGCCTCCCAAAGCACTTGGGATTACAGGCTGAGCCACCGAGCCCGGCTCAGAGGCACTCTTAACAGAGGTAGGTAGGCATGGAGGAAGACAGGGGCGGAACAAGCAACCTGAAAACCAGGGGAATTAAGTGAAAGTTGACTGAGCCTTTTTATCCCTGCCAACTTCAAGATCACCCTATAGTGAAGACCACAAAGCGCTATGGCTGCCCACCCAGGTCATCTCCCCAACAGCCTTCTGTTGGTCCACTCTTTAATGAGATGTCAAACATCACCAGGTATTTATGAAGACCATTTAAAATAAAATACAAACAAATACAAAACACAACAGAAAGGTTAGAAGACAGAGTTAAAGAAATTCCACAAAAAACTCCAGAAACAATGAAAGAAAGAGAAGAAAAGTAGGGGTCAAGTCCAGGATCAAAGATTATCCTCAGGCTGGGCTTGTTGGCTCAGTCAGTATCCCAGCACTTTGGGAAGCCGAGGCGAATGGATTATCTGAGTCCAGAGGTTTGAGAACAGCCCGGGCAACTTGGCAAGACTTCGTCTCTACAATAAACAAAATATTAGCCAGGTGTGATAGCGTGCGCCTGTAATTCAGGCTACTTGGAAGGCTGAGGCAGAAGGATTGCCAGAGCCCAGCAGGTCTATACTGGGGTGGCCATGAGCATGCCACTGCACTCCAGCCTGGGCAACAGAGTGAAACTTCAACTCAAAAAAATAAAATAAAATAAAAGATTATCCTCTCTGAATAAGACATTCTGGAGGGGAAGAAATCATCATCAGAATAATTCAAAGAAAGTCCCCAAAACTGAAGGACATGCATTTCCAGACTGAAAAGGTTAAAAGTACTCAGTATCAGTACTCAGTATCAGTATCCTACAGTATAGTAGATGAGAAAAGATCCACAGTCAAGTCCGTGGAACTAAAAACACTGAGGTCAGCTGGGTTTAGTGGCTTATACCTGTAATCCCAGCACTTTGGGAGGCGGAGGTGAGAGGAATGCCTGAGCCCAGGAGTTTGAGACCAGCCTGGGCAACATGGCAAAATCTTGTCTCTATAATAAATCAAAAAATTAGCTGTGCGAGGTTCGGTGGCTCAGCCTGTAATCCCGCGCTTTGGGAGGCCCAAGTGAGTGGATTGCCTGAGCCCATGGGTTCGAGACCTGCTTAGGCAACTTGGCGAGAACTCATCTCTACAATTAATAAAAAAAATTAGCCGGGCATGGTAGCGCGTGCCTGTAGTTCCAGCTACTTGGAAGGCTGAGCGGAAGGATCACCGGAGCCTAGCAGGTTGAGGGTGCAGTGGCCGGGAGCATGCCACTGCTCTCCAGTCTGGGCGACAGAGTGAGACTTCAACTCAAAAAAAAATATATATAAAAATAAAATTAGCTGGGTACGAGCCTGTGGTTCCAGCTACTTGGAAGACTGAGGTGGAAAGACTGCCTGAGCCCAGCAGGTCGAGGCTGCAGTGGCTGAGCATGCAAATACACTCCAGCCTGGTGAAAGAGTGAGACTCCTGCACAAAAACAAAAATAAAAACAGGAAAAAAAATCCACTGAGGTAGAAGAGAAGATCTGTAAGCTTTAATAAAAAGAAATTTTTCATAGAAAGGATCAAGAATCAGAGCATCACATAGCAACACTGAGAATCAAAAGGACAATGCCTCAAAATTGTGAAGGAAAATGATTTCCAGTCGAACCAAACTATTAGGTAGAATGCAGGGGGATAAAATTGTTCTGATACCTAATGTCTCAATTTATTCCCATGCGCCACTTTTCAGGAAGATGCTAGAAGATGTACTCCAAGCCGGGCTTGGTGGCTTAGCCTGTAATCCCGCGCCTTTGGGAGGCTGAGGTGAGTGGATTGCCTGAGCCCGCGGGCAACTTGGCGAGACCTCATCTCTACAATAAATCAAAAAACTAGCCAGGTGTGGTCACGTGTGCCTGTAATTCCAGCTACTTGGAAGGCTGAGGCGGAAGGATCGCCGGAGCCCAGCAGGTCGAGGCTGCGGTGGCCGGGAGCGGCCACTGCACTCCAGTCTGGGCAACAGAGTGAGACTCCAACTCAAAAAAAGAAAGAAAAAAAAAAGAAGATGTACTCCAACAGACCGAGGAGCAAGACAAAAAAGGAAGACACGGGATTCATGTCATTCAACACAAGCCAGAAGAAAAAGGAATCGTCAGGGCACGATTAAGGAAGATTCCAAAACAACAGCTGTGAAGTAGGCCTGGAACTACCAGTTCAGGCTTGGGAAGAAGCATCTTCAATAAAATGAAATGAATAGAATACCTGATGTGCCTGAACCTACTTGAAGATTTATGAGCCGGGCTCAGTGGGTCAGCCTGTAATCCCGCATTTTGGGAGGCTGAGATGAGTGGATTGCCTGAACCCACGGGTTTGAGACACGCCTGGGCAACTTGACGAGACCTCATCTCTACAATAAATAAAAAAAAAAAATCAGCCAGGCATGGTAGCGCGTGCCTGTAATTCCAGCTACTTGGAAGGTTGAGGCAGAAGGATCGCCAGACCCCAGTGGGTCAAGGCTGCAGTGGCCACTTCCGGCCACTGCACTCCAGTCTGGGCGACAGTTAGAGACTCCAACTCAAAAAAAAAAAAAAAAAAAAAAAAAAAAAGATTTATGGCTGTACACAGTGGCTCATGCCTGTAATCCCAACACTTTAGGAGACTGACGCAGGAGGATTGCTTGAGGCAAGGAGTTCAATCTGGGCAACAGAGTGAGATCCCATCTCTAGAAAATAAAAATAAAATTAGCTGGGCATGGTGGTGGGTGCGAGTAGTCCCAGCTACTTGGGATGCTGAGGTGGGAGGATTGCTTGAAGCCATGAGTTCAAGGCTGCAAGGAGGTATAATTGCAATACTGCACTCCAGCCTGGGTGATAAAGCAAGATCCTGTCTCTAAAAAATGAACAACAGGAGTTTTATATAACTAGGAAAATGGGATAAGTAGTACATAACAAACCAAATGATCAAGAAAAAAAAAGAATTAATGATTGTCTTTTAATTTTAAAAAAAAGACAATCATTAATTCTTTTTTTTTGAATTGGAATCTCACTCTGTCGCCCAGACTGGAGTGCAGTGGTCGCTCCCGGCCACCGCAGCCTCGACCTGCTGGGCTCCGGTGATCCTTCCACCTCAGCCTTCCAAGTAGCTGGGACTACAGGTGCGCGCTACCACGCCCAGCTAATTTTTTGATTTGTTGTAGAGATGAGGTCTCATCAAGTTGCCCAGGTGGGTCTCGAACCCGCAGGCTCAGGCAATCCACTCACCTCGGTCTCCCAAAGTGCTGGGATTACAGGCTGAGCCACCAAGCCTGGCCTCAATCATTAATTCTAACAGAAAATACTAGACATGAAAGAAAAGCAATCATATTCAATTAGATGGCTCAGTTCTCAAAAGCATTTACACAGTCATATTAGTAAACAGCAAAATACACATGTTATGCAGAAAAATGGAGGTAAGGCACGGAGGCTCATGCCTATAATCCCAGCACTTTGGGAGGCTGAGGTGAGAGGATTGCCTGAGTCCACAGTTTCAAGACCAGCCTGGGAAACTTGGCAAGACCTCATCGCTACAATAAATCAAAAAAATCAGTCAAGCGTGGTAGCACATGCCTATAGTTCCAGCTACTTAGAAGGACCACCTGAGCCCAGCAGGTTGAAGCTGCGGTGGCTGTGAGCATGCCCATGCCACTGCACTCCAGCCTGGGCAAGAGTGAGACTCCAACTCAAAAAAAAAAAGAGGAGGTAATTACCAAAAGAAATCAGCAACTGAAAGTAATTATCAGCCGGGCTTGGTGGCTCAGCCTATAATAATCCCATGCCTTTGGGAGGCTGAGGTGAGTGAAATGCCTGAGCCCGCGGGTTCGAGACCCGCCTGGGCAGCGAGACCTCATCTCTACAATAAATCAAAAAATCAGCCGGGCGTGGTGGCGCATGCCTGTAATTCCGGCTACTTGGAAGGCTGAGGCGGAAGGATCGCCGGAGCCCAGCAGGTCGAGGCTGCCGTGGCTGGGAGCGGCCACTGCACTCCGTCTGGGCAACAGAGTGAGACTCCAACTCAAAAAAAAGAAAGTAATTATCAACCGTCACGGTGGCTCAGCCTGTAATCCCATGCTTTGGGAGGCTGAGGTGAGTGGATTGCTTGAGCCCGGAGGTTTGAGAACCACCTGGGCTACTTGGCGAGACCTCATCTCTACAATAAATTAAAAAAAAAAATCAGCCGGGCATGGTAGCACGTGCCTGTAGTTCTGGCTACTCGGGAGGCTGAAGTGGAATGATCACCGGAGTCCAGCAGGTCGAGGTTGTGGTGGCTGGGAGCGGCCACTGCACTCCAGTCTCTGGGCAACAGTGAGACTCCAACTCAAAAAAAAAAAAAAAGAAAGAAAGAAAGTAATTATCTCTGAGGAGTAGAAAGTAGAAGTGCATAGGAGACCAGTTTTTCTGTTACCAGCAAAAACATACATGTATAGCTTCGATAGAACACAAGATTTAAAATGTCTAGGAATGGGCTAGCTGGATCACACAAAAGAAAGGGGAAAACCCTCCAAAATTTTGAAAATCCACTGCCCTACAAATACTCTACAAAAAGACAGCAACTCCCAGTGCCTTTTGCTCACCTAGATGTACCCTTCCAATAATCTTCTGGGTGCCCACTCCTTTGGCAATCCCTGCCCACCGACGGTCTACCAGTCTCATTATATTACACCTTTCTGCACAAGCTTGGCTCATAATAGTCATCTGGGCACCTGGATGAGAAGAGAAACATCAGATTAAAAAAAGAAAACAAAATCCACATTTGTGGCAAGACTCAAAATACAGCACCAAGGCTTTGTCTCTGGAAAATCATTTCTACCTAGCAAGTGTTCTAACCTGCTTCATTCAATTTCCAGTTACACACTGGAATCTGAAACACAATGTGGAAACAACACTGAGGCAAAGAATGTTCTGTTGCAATGTAATAATTAAATAATATATCTTTTTTTAGAGGCAAGGTCTTGCTAGATTGCCCAGGACTTGAATCCCTGGGCGCAGATAATCCTCTCGCCTCTGTCTCCCAAAGAGCTGGGACTAAACACATGAGCCACCGCACCCAACTTAAATGATATTTTAAAACTTAATCAACAGAAAGCAAAAACACCTGGAATGAGAACCTCTTAAAAGTTCAAATGATGCTCACATATCTACAGATGGCAATGCTAAATTACGCATCACTTTACACTAGGTGGTTTTTACTGAAAATCTAATGCATTTTATGAAGTTATTTTCATATCAAACTTTGGGATACTACAGTTCACTATTTATTTATTTTTTTGAGTTGGAGTCTCACTCTGTCTCCCAGACTGGAGTGCAGTAGCATGCTTTTTGCCACCGCAGCTTCGACCTGCTGGGCTCTGTTGATTCCTCTGCCTCAGCCTTCCAAGTAGTCGGAACTACAGGTGCACGCTACCATACCCGGCTGATTTTTGATTTATTGTAGAGACGAGGTCTTGCCAAGTTGCCTGGGTGGGTCTAGAACCCGCGGGTTCAGACAATCCACTCGCCTCAGTCTCACAAAGTACTGGGATTACAGGCTGAGCCACCAAGCCCGGTCTAAAGTGTACTGTTTAAAAAATATATCTTGCAGTCTCCCCCAAAACTAGAAGTGAGCTCCCCATATTCTGCTCCAACAATTAGACCCTCTTCCCCTTTAAAGACCAGGGCATCTAGAGTATTTTCTTTCGCAATTACATGTAGTCAGCTGGCTCTAATTTCTCCCTGGAATCCTAGCTCTACATTCCTGTATGTTGGACATTTCTATCTCAAAGTCAATGGGTATAAAACTCTTTCTTCTCAGCCGGGCTCAGTGGCTCAGCCTGTAATCCTGAGCATTTGGGAGGCTGAGGTGAATGGATTGCCTGAGCCCGCGGGTTCAAGACCCGCCTGGGCAACTTGGCGAGACCTCATCTCTACAATAAATCAAAAATTAGCCGGGCGTGGTAGTGCACGCCTGTAGTTCTAGCTACTTGGAAGGCTGAGGCGGAAGGATCACCGGAGCCCAGCAGGTCGAGGCTGCGGTGGCCGGGAGCGGCCACTGCACTCCAGTCTGGGCGACAAAGTGAGACTCCAACTCAAAAAAAAAACCAAAACACAAAAAAAACCTCTTTCTTCTCAAGTAATTCTCACTTGAGATCTCCCCTGTCTTTGCCAGTTAACATAAACATAATTATTTTCTCAGAGTCATAAAACCTGGGTATGGTTTACTTTTGACTCTTCTTTTGGCCTTTGCTCTGCTCTCTATGCAAGCCTATGAAAAGTTCTATGCAACTCCCTCGAGGGAGATACCCAGAATTAAGAAGCATAAGACTACTCAGTAGTACATCTCCAAAGTGCTGCACACTGTGGTCTTATGAAAAAACAAAGAGCTGTTAGGGAGAGGAAAGGCACCGACTCAACTGGGAAACTCTCTGACTCTTTATCTGTCTGTTAATTTCTTTTTTATTTTTTTTTAGGTTGCAATCTCACTCTGTTGCCCAGGCTGGAGTGCAGTGGCATGCTCAAGGCCACCACAGCCTCGACCTGCTGGGCTCAGGTGATCCTTCCACCTCAGTCTTCCAAGTAGCTGGAACCACAGGCACGCACTACCACGCTCAGCTAATTTTTATATTGATTGTAAAGACAAGGTCTCGCCAAGTTGCCCAGGTTGGTCTCAAACCCATGGACTCACACAATCCTCTAGCCTTCACCTCCCAAAGTGCTAGGATTACAGGTATAGCTACTGTGCCCAGCACTGTCTGTTAAGTTCTTTAAGGGCAAGAACCATGCCCTGTACAGCCTCACACTCCTCCCAGATCCTGGTAAAGTGCTGGTGTACAGGCCAGGCTGAAATGCCTGATCTATAACCCACGCAGCTCCTTATGGTGCCTTTTTCTAAACCAATTTATTCCCAATTTCTTGCAAAAGTATCCAAGAAATTCAGAACACAATAAGAAGAGCTAGTAAGATCAAAAAGACACTGCAAACTATAAAACTGGTTAAGAAATGATTAAAGAAATAAACCTATGACCAACAAGAAGACGGGCAAGTGGAATAATAACTACTGAGCTTATTGGTTAGCAGTCCAAGGACAGCAGCTACCTGAATGGACACTTGAGATGCCCTTCCTCATGTCAGGCCAGGATGCTAGAGAGGGAAACCAAGACATAAAAGACAGACGTCACCTGAGTCAACAAAGGCTTTCACAGGATGTCCATTCACTTTGCAGTTAATATAAAGCATCACTACTTGGCCAAAACTTTCTGGAGCCTCTTCCATAGCTATTGTCATGTTTTCCTCAATGTTCTGTTGCCTGTAACAGACCAAGACCAGGGACACCAAAAGCATTATTTCCACGAAGAGAAATCAGTCTCAAAGTAACAATACCAAAAACAGGTATGTACATATTTTTTGCCCCAATGATATCAGCTTTGATTCATAAAAAAAATTGGGCTGGGCTCGGTGGCTCAGCCTGTAATCCCGCGCCTTTGGGAGGCTGAGGTGAGTGGATTGCCTGAGCCCGCGGGTTCGAGACCCGCCTGGGCAGCGAGACCTCATCTCTACAATAAATCAAAAAATCAGCCGGGCGTGGTAGCGCATGCCTGTAATTCCAGCTACTCGGAAGGCTGAGGCGGAAGGATCGCCGGAGCCCAGCAGGTCGAGGCTGCGGTGGCCGGGAGCGGCCACTGCATTCCAGTCTGGGCGACAGAGTGAGACTCCAACTCAAAAAAAAAAAAAAAAAAATTGGTTCTCTATTCTTCAACAGATGACTTACTAGGAAGTAGTGCAATACATACACAGCTGGCAGAAAATCTAAAGGCATAAAAATTATCCTCATGCAAAACAATTATGCTCTTTATAAGCTCTGAAATAAGAAAATAAATAAGAAAATTAACTGTAGAGCAAGTGTCAAAACCCCGTTTATCCGGTAGAATGTTAAAAATTCGTGACTGCTAAAGTTTAAACTGAGGATTTACTGGGTGTCTTGGTACATTTCCTATGCCCAGTGCATTAAAAAAGAGTTTACAAGCAGAATACACAAATATTCCAACTACTTGTGCTGCACCTGCAGCATCATCTCCAGGATTAGGTCTTCTTATCTGTAATGAGGATAATTTCTATCACAGGGTTGCTGAGAGGGATAAGGTATTTGGTATATAATGCTCACATAAGAGCAAATGCTATAAAAATGCATCAGTCTACCATTTAAGACTATACCTATGTATCACAGTTCACTTGGTGCAGGAAATACATGAGAAAAGCATATAAAAGGGAGTTCTCACTCCAACAACCAATGTCTTCATTCCCAATCTCCTCTGAAAAACATTAACACTACCAACATCAATGGAAACCAGGTCAGTGGCTGGGCAACTTACCTGAAGGCTGAGACAATAAGAGAACAAAATTCAAGATTTGGGGTAAACTACACTGTAAACCAGGGGTTGGCAAATTACAGCCTGCTGTTTGAGTAAATAAAAAAAAAATTTCTAGGGGTAGAGACAGGCTATCACTATGTTGCCCAAGCTGGTCTCAAGTTCCTAGGCTTAAACAATCCTCCTGCCTTGGGCTTTCAAAGTGCTGGGATCACAGGTGTGAGTGAGTTACTGAATCCAGTCTGGGTAAATAAATTTTTATAGGAACACAGTGACACTAGGCACTTACATATTGTCCTATTGTCTGTGGCTTCTTTCACACAACAGTGGTAGAGCTGAACATGAGCAACAGAGATCGTATGGCCTACAAAGCCTAAAATATTTACTATCTGGCCCTTTATGGAAAAAGTCTGCTGACCTACTGTTCTAAACTACAGTGCCCAACCTTTTTGTAATAATACTCTGCTTCAATTGAACTGATGCCTTTATCAGCCATTCTATAATAAAATATTAATTTCTCAGAATGTCAGGGGCAGCCTCATTTAGTTAAGTTAGGTAAATACACAAGCTATTATACCTCAATGTATATGTAGCCTGTGCAATCACTGGTATAGCAAGTCAAATAAAACTTTTTTTTTTTTTTTTGAGTTGGAGTCTCACTCAGTTGCCCAGACTGGAGTGCAGTGGCTGCTCCCGGCCACCGCAGCCTCAACCTGCTGGGCTCCAGCAACTCTTACGTCTCAGCCTTCCAAGTAGCTGAAACTGCAGGCACGCGCTACCACGCCCGACTAATTTTTGATTTATTGTAGAAATGAGGTCTTGCCAAGTTGCCCAGGCGGGTCTCGAACCCGCGGGTTCAGGCAATCCACTCACCTCAGCCTCCCAAGCGCGGGATTACAGGCTGAGCCACCAAGCCTGGCTCAAATAAAACTTTAATAGGCACTTAATATAACTGCACAGCTTTTACCCTATTGCATATTATTAAATTTAGAAATAAACTAAGATTAATTGTGAACCTAATTTTATATTGACTCCAACTCAAATAAGTTTCAAAAAAATATTCTCTGAGATATAACCAGTTACTTTGGTTATTCTAGACACCATATGTAGAGAATCTCTTCAGAGGCACACAGTTTTCCCCTTCAAAATAATGGATGCACTACCTGCAATCCCACTATTCTGGGAGACTGAGGTGGGAGATCACTTGAGGGTAAGAGTTTGAGAATAAATGTTATCCTGTTTCCTTTACCCCATCCCTGGAAAGAATCATGAGCCACATGATTACACTCCATTTCACTTCTCTTTTTCCAAGAGCTCAGTATCATGGATTGCCTATGATGCCTTCTACCCCTCCTGTTTCTTAGCAACTATTCATTTTTTTTTTTTTTTTTTGAGTTGGAGTCTCACTCTGTCGCCCAGGCTAGAGTACAGTGGCACGCTCACAGCCACACCAGTGTCGACCTGCTGGGTTTGGCCACCAGTGTCGACCTGTTGGGCTCTGGCGATCCTTTCACCTCAGTCTTCCAAATAGCCGGAACTATAGGTGTGTGCTACCACACCCAGCTAATTTTTGATTTATTGTAGAAACGAGGTCTTGCCAAGTTGCCTGGGCTGGTTTGAACCCGCGGGCTCAGGCAATCCACTCGCCTCGGCCTCCCAAAGTACTGGGATTACAGGCTGAGCCACAGAGCCCAGCCCCTAGCAACTATTTTTAAAACTTACATTCAGCCAGGCGCAGTGGCTGAGGCAGAAGGATCACCTGAGTCCAGCAAGTCGACGCTGGGGTGGTCGTGAGCATGCCACTGCACTCCAGCCTGGGTGTCGGAGTGAGACTCCAACTCAAAAAAAAAAAACCAGCCGGGCTTGGTGGCTCAGCCTGTAATCCCGCGCCTTTGGGAGGCTGAGGTGAGTGAACTGCCTGAGCCCGCGGGTTTGAGACCCGCCTGGGCAGCGAGACCTCATCTCTACAATAAATCAAAAAATCAGCTGGGCGTGGTAGCGCATGCCTGTAATTCCGGCTACTTGGAAGGCTGAGGCGGAAGGATCGCCAGAGCCCAGCAGGTCGAGGCTGCGGTGGCCGGAAGCGGCCACTGCACTCCAGTCTGGGTGACAGAGTGAGACTCCAACTCAAAAAAAAAAAAAAAAAAAAAAACCAAAAAACTTATATCCATTCTCTCTTCTAGCTGCAATGTGACCTAGTTCAGATAACACAAGCATCTTCCTAGTTCTCTGGGTAGATTTAACTAGTGAGATTTTTCTCAACGATATTCCCCAATATCTAATACAATTAGTGGGGACACAATCAACAAGAATACAAGTGAATAGCTTAGTGCTGTCATTTGATCTGGCATCTAATTTACACTGATTTCAAATGTAGTTAGAAAAGTAAGAAACTAAAAAAGTACTATTTAACTTCCAAGCTGACAGAGTTACTACCAAGTTAGGCTTCATTTAAGTAACACAGTCCCTAAAAGGCTACTCAGTCTTAAGAGTAGTATGATCACAGTTATGCTCTTCTTATTCTAAGTTCTCCACTAATAGCAACAAAGACCAAATCTTACAGGAAGAGTCACTTGAGGTTGTATGTAGAGAACCTACAGGGGAAAAGCAGCTGGCCTTTAACTCAAAGGAAATGACTGGAGCGTATTCTGCTGTGATCAGCAACGTGACCAAGGCAGTGTCAGCATCACTGTATTTGCTTAGGCTCCACAACTGAAGATTCTGATTCACCAGATTTGGGAGAAGAGCCTAAGCATCTGCATTTAGAAAAACTTCTCTTGCCTGAGCCCGCAGGTTTGAGACCCGCCTGGACAACTTGGCAAGACCTCACCTCTACAATAAATCAAAAAATTAGCCGGGCGTGGTAGCACGCGCCTGTTGTTCCAGCTACGTGGAAGGCTGAGGCGGAAGGATCACCAGAGCCCAGCAGGTCGAGGCTGCGGTGGCTGGGAGCGGCCACTGCACTCCAGTCTGGGCGACAGAGTGAGACTCCAACTAAAAAAAAAAAAAAAAAACTTCTCAACGTGATTTGACTACAGCCCTAGGTGAGAATCACTGCACTGCAGAAATTAGGAGTTGGAAATGTGTCCAGTAGTCAGTGTAACAGTGTAAGAACTGCAGAAGGAACACAGACTTAGGACTACAAGGCTCCACATATGCAGAACAGTCTCTCTAATCCAATCATGCTCAAGCCCTGGATTTAATCAGAACTCATACCACATGTCTAAGGAGAGAGATTCCTATCAGCCTATACAATATGTAGCCAGCCTCCTGGTCTCACCAGATGGGGACTTCTGCTCAGTCCTGGGGTCATCTACCTGGAGCTGTTTTAATGTTGCTGGGCCTACCAGTCGGGGGGGGTCTTCCTTAAAATTTTAGAGAGAAATTAGCCAGGCATGATGGTACACGTCTATGGTTCCAGCTACTTGGAAGGCTGAGGCAAAAGGATCGCCTGAACCCAGCAGGTCGAGGCTGTGGTGGCTGTGACCATGCCACTGCACTCCAGCCTGGGCAATGGAGTGAGACTCCAACTCAAAAAAAAAAAAAAATTGTTTTAGAGAAAAAGTCACTAAGTTAGACAACTATACCTTTGTTTTTTTGTAAGAAAGGAGGATTTATTGAGAGGACAGAAAAGCTCCCACAGTGTGAGGGGACCCAAGGGGGTTGCCCTACCTTTGTAATGTTCAATCAAAATGTGCAGAAAATGTAAAAAAAGAGAACAGCCTAAAAGACTGAAGTCATTATCTCAACTGCAAAACAGGGAAAGTACCTCTCAGCTGATGCCCAACTAGCCAGATGACCTACGGTGTGGGAAATTGGGACTCTCTGAGTGTTATTCTTTAGATGAACAGCAGCTCATTACCTTATATCTTCTTCTATCTTTGCCTGAGCTTCAAGATCAAAGGGGTCAGCAGAAAAGAGACGAATCCTTTCTTGCTCTCTCCGGGCTCGGTCCTGCTGCTGCTCTACTAGAACCCTGGAAAATTTCTCTGCACAAATAAGGGAGAAAAATCTTAAGTACTATTACATTTTCATTCTTCATCAGTACTTTTCCATATCAAACAATCTCTCAAAATTCAACTGCAAGAGATGCAGATAGGATGCCTAAAAACTATTCGAAATGAGCAATTATATTTACTTTCTATTCTAAGGTAAGCCTACTTCATCTAAATTTAGTGTAAAGAAAGTATTTGCAAGAATCTTTATTCTCTTAAGAAGTTACCCATCATACTGTTTCTACTTGAAGATAACAACTTTCCAACTTAAATCAATGGAGAATGGCTACCCCTGTGGCAGGTAAATGCCCCCACGCTTCCCTCCCTTCTGCTCTCATTATCCTAATACCTAGAAACAAAATAAAGCACTACATAATCTCTTGTCCTCTTCTAGTTTCATTTCCTTTATAACATACTCTGCTTAAGCCAGATTGATTAAGTGCAAGCTCCTGTCAGTCTATTTGTATCTTTTAAAATTTTTTATTATTTATTTATTTTTAAAGACAGGGTCTCCTAGGCTGGAGTACAGTGAAACCAACACAACTCATTGTAACCTTGAACTCCTGAGCTCAAACAATCCTCCCACCCTAGCCTCCCAAGTAGCTGGGACTACAAGTGCGTGTCACCATGCCTGGCTAATTTCTCAATTTTCTGTAGAGATGAGGTCTCAGTATGTTGCCCAGGCTGGTCTAGAACTTCTGGCCTCAAGCAATCCCATGTCTTGGCCTCTCAAAGTGCTGGAATTACAGGCATGACCCAATGTGCCTGGTCAGTCTACCTATATTTTGTGTGTTCTGACAAATTGGCAGTAAAATAAAGAAAACACTGCTTGCTACAAAGTTATGTTACAAGAAGAATCTACTACTGCTATTACTTAAATGGTGGTGCACTTAAGTGTGTAGACTTGCCAGGCATGGTGGCTCATGCCTGTAATCTTAGCACTTTGGGAGGAAAAACTTGAGCCCATGACTTTGAGAACAACCTAGGCAACATAGTGAGACTTTGTCTCTACAAAAAATTAAAAAATTAACCAGGCGTAGTAGCACACGTCTACAGTACCAGCTACTTAGAAGGCTAAGGCAGAAGGATCACCTGACCCCAGAAGTCCAAGCTGCAATCGTGCCACTGCACTCCAGCATGGGTGACAGAGTGAGACCCTCAACTCATAAATAAATAAATAAAATAAAAGTGTAATTTACATATGCTATCATCATGGTCTTTGGTAATTAGATATGCTGACATAAGAAATTAAAGAAACCTCACACTGAAGATAAGACAGGAAAAAAAGTTAAAAATAAAAAATAAAGAAATCATGATAATGATCATCTGAAATACTACACACAACATGGACAGATCTAAAAAACATTAAGTTGGGTAAAAGAAACCTGACATAAAGTAAATACTCTAAGATTCCATATATAAGTAGCCTACAAGAGGAGGAAACTGACTAGAAAGGAACACAATGGAACTTCCTAGAGTGAGAGAAGAGTCTTGGATATTGACTGAAGTTACATAAGTCTGTCAAAAGTCAATGAAATTTTGTATACTTAAAATCCATATACTTCTCTCTGTAAGGTAAATAGTGCCTCGATTTAAAAAATGGTCAATTGAGGAATTAGTTATTAAGTGTCTGTTGCGTTTTAAAATGTAACCTAATTTAACTTAAATGAACAGTGAAATGGGAGAAATTTAAAGAAAAAACTATTCATAAAGATGACGAAAAGTCAAACGTTATATTTAATAAAAGAATGGCTCAAATACAGCTCCAGGCCGGACGCGGTGGCTCATGCCTATAATCCCAGCACTTTGGGAGGCCGAGGTGGGAGGACTGCCTAAGCCCGCGGGTTCTAGACCAGCCTGGACAACTTGGCAAGACCTCATCTTTACAATAAATCAAAAAATTAGCTGGGCATGGTGTCACATGCCTGTAGTTCCAGCTACTTGGAAGGCTGAGGCAGAAGGATTGCCCGAGCCCAGCAGGTTGAGGCCACGGTGGCTGGGAGGGTAGTGGCCCTCCATCATGGATGACAGAGTGAGACTCCAACTCAAAAAAAAAAAAAACAACCCCCCCCCCAAAAAAACAGCTCCAAACAAGCTGCTGGCAACAATCCTGCTCCCATGAAAACTAGTGGTAGATGAGGTCAAGGGGCTACCACTTAGCCATACAGGCTGATGGCATGGGACATGTTTGCCATAACTGAAAACATTTCAACTGGGATCAGCTGGCTTGCTGGGGCTCCTAACTTTAATTGAAGATCTAACTAAACAGGCTAAAATATAAATACCTGGGTTATGTGCTGCTAAAAATAATGAGGAAATAAAAAGTAAACTGAGGGAAGCTCGTCTAGATGGATTTCGTCCTAAAATTCTATCACTGTTGCCAACTCAGTCTTTGACATTAGCACTGATTTGCCTCTCCCAGACAACAAATGGGTATGTTCAATAAGCCATGTGACACGGGGTTGCTTGAGCCTCCACATTTGCTGGGATACAGTGACTTCCCCTCAGGTCAGTCTGACAGCCCTCCAAGTCTGTGAGCTTACCAAGGTCTCCACTGAGAAGTGCATCTGCCAGGGGTGGATTGCGTTCCTTTAGCAAGGACAGCTCATGAGGGTTTGCCAGCAGCATGTCTCGGAGCAGGGCTGGGTTGTCCAAGCCCTGAGGAGATGATGCTATTTCTCCAGGAGATGAGTGGGACTGCTGTGCTCCTGGTGGCTGGCGCTGTCGAGGGTTTGATGTGCCAGGCACAGCTATACTGCTGAAATCTATTCGGGGTAAGTCTGTTGGGGAAAATCAATTCAAAGTTTACTGAAATGACTCTCAAAACAAGTGGTTGAAGGAAATAGCAGAACACTTGCTCATTTACGGAATGTAACCGCAGCAAATGGTAACTGGAGACACCCTAACGCCTCTCCTGCCTCTCTCCCACTCTGACTTTGAGTAGACTGCAGCAGGACAGTGAGTTGACAGGAAAGAAGAAAGGGGGGCAGACAAGGGTAATGACACCAAATTTTTGGCTTATAAAATATCCCAGGATATCAAGAATTTATGTTTGTAAAAATTAAAGCTATTACTCTCAACAAATATAACTGCATAAATCTGGATGTGGCTCTTGAGAAAAATCCTAATGTGATTTGATATAGGGTTTAAAGAGTTCTGCCACTTAAAGAATGCTATACATATCAAATCCCAGCACTTTGGGAGGCCGAGGTGAGAGGATTGCTTGAGCCCAGGAGTTTGAGACCAACCTTGACAACACAGGCAAGACATCATCTCTACAAAAAAATTTAAAAATTAGCTAGGTATGGTGGTGCATGCCTGTAGTCCCAGTTACTCGAGAGGCTAAGGCAGGAGGATCACCTAAGCCCAGGAAGTCATAGCTGCAGTGAGTCGTGATTGTGCCATTGTACTCCAGCCTGGGCAACAAAGTGAGACCCTCACTCAAAAAAAAAAAAAAAGAATATCACATATATCAAGTGAACAGCATAAATGTTAGATGCTAAATTCTGCATCAGCTCAAGGAGGTATTTAATAGTTCCATGAATTTACATTTTCATCTGTGCATCACTGTGCTAACTCTTCTCATGCCCCTGGGGAACTGAGCAGTCAGTCTAATCATTTTCCAAGAGAGAAAGACAGGGAAAAAAAAGGGACTTGCATAGGTTTTCATGGCTGAGTACACCCAAAGCTATCACAGATTTAGAGGCTATAACTACCAGGTTCTATACTCCAGGCTGAGTTGAGCTATTAAAATGAAAGGAAAATAAAAGGGAGGATTAACCCTTACAAAGGACCAACATATTGTATGACTCCATTTCTATGAAATGGAATCAATGAAAAGGTAAATACATAGAAAGTAGACTTGTAGTTGTCTAGGGCTGGGAGCTTAGTAGAGGAATGACTGCTACAGGGTTTCTTTTTAAGGTGATGAAAATATGCTACAATTGATTGTGGTGATGGTTGAATAACTCTGTGAGTATACTAAAAAACAGACTTGTACCCTTTAAATGATGAATTGTAGCCGGGGCTAGGATTAGGGTGTCCCCCCCATTCACACCAGGGCCTAGCCAGGCATGGTGACATGAGTCTGTAGTTCCAATTACTTGGAAGGCTGAGGCAGAAGGATTGCCTAAGTCCAGCAGGTTGAGGCTGTGGTGGCCGTGAGCATGCCACTACACTCCAGTCTGGGTGACAAGAGTGAGAAAAGTAAACAAGGAAAGCCAGAATGAGGGGTAGGCCTGAGCAAATCAACATTTCTTCAACCCCAAAAATATATCTGTTGCTCAAACTTGTCTCAAGTCTTCTGAAGCCTTTTGGACTTCAAATAGGAATGCTTAATCTCGGGCTCTGTCCTTTAGCACAGGGTCAGCTAGTCACTTTCTTTTTTCTTTCTTTCTTTTTTTTTTTTTTGAGTTGAAGTCTCACTCTTGTTGCCCAGGCTGGAGTGCAATGGCACGCTCACAGCCACCGCAGCCCTGACCTGCCTTCACCTTTCACCTCAGCCTTCCAAGTAGTTGCAACTACAGATGCATGCCACCATGTCTGGCTAGTTTTTGTAATTTATTGTAGAGATGAGGTCTCACCAAGTTGCCTAGGCTGGTCTTGAACCCGCGGGCTCAGAAAATCCTCTCACCTTGGTCTCCCAAAGTGCTGGGATTATAGGCTGAGCCACTGAGACCAGACTCTTTCTTTCTTTCTTTTTTGAATTTGAGTCTCACTCTGTCACCCAGGGTGGAGTGTGGTGACATGCTCATGACCACCGCAGCCTCGACCCGCTGGGTTCAGGCGATCCTTCCACTTCAGCCTTCCTAGCTAGAACTACAGGCATGTACCACCACATCCAGCTAATTTTTTGATTTATTGCAGAGACAAGGTCTCACCAAGTTACCTAGGCTGGTCTCAAACCCCTGGGCTCAGGTAATCCTCTCACCTTGGCCTCCCAAAGTGCTGGGGTTACAGGCTTGAGTTACCGCTCCTGCCCTTCTTTTTTCAGGTGGCAGGCAGTGAGAAAGAAAGAGAGACACACACAGAGAGACAGAGGGAGAGAGGGAGGGAGAGAGGGAGGAAGGAAAGGAGGGACGGGGAGGGGGGCCCAACCAATGAAAAGGAGAGTGTATGGTATGATCTCTGTGAGATAGTTCATCTACACCAGCCAGCAAAACATATGTGGGTGGGTCCTCTTTGCAGGTGATGGAATTTTATCTCTACCCATTACACATTATCTTAAAAGTCCATTCACTTTAGAATAAAAAAACATGTTTACTTTATAGACCAGATCCCTCTCACCCCCAACCTTTTGGCTCTCTAGTCCACATAGAAATAAAGAAAAGAAGCTGGGCTCAGTGGCTCAGCCTGTAATCCCGCGCCTTTGGGAGGCTGAGGTGAGTGGATTGCCTGAGCCTGTGGGCTCAAGACCCGCCTGGGCAACTTGGCCAGACCTCATCTCTACAATAAATCAAAAATTAGCCGGGCGTGGTAGCGTGCACCTGTAGTTCCAGGTACTTGGAAGGCTGAGGCGGAAGGATCGCTGGAGCCCTG